TGAAAAGATGCGAATAGCCATAAATGACATGTTAAACATTTTTTAAGTTAACATGACATGGAGGAACCAGGAAATTATCCATCTAATATACTTGGTGTGGCTTATGTACTTAAACTGTTTACTTCCAGATTTTTACAACCTACATATTTTCTAAACATAACAGTCATTAACAAGATATATTGGGTGCACTCAATCTGAATAGTGTTATTCTATATAAAATGCAGCTATCTTTGAGTTTACAAGCTCAAAGGCAAATATAAATTCAAAAGTTAGATAATATAAAGCAACATATTATTAAACGCACAGTGGTATCACAAAGCATATCAGATTCCTGTTTTCTTTAGTTCCTAGTTCATCAGCACTTGGAGTAGGCTAGTTCCATAAACTCCTGAGGTAAATAAGATTCTACCTTATTTTTTTAATGATTATATATCAAGATTACAGTAAGCGTGGAATTTCTAAGACAAAAAAGGTGGCTTCCGAAAAAGAAAAAGAAGCTTCAAAGATCTACATAGAATTAAGCTCTTTATTATGTATGTATACATAAATTTTGTATCTATTTACTTTTTAACTATAATCTTTTTCTAGTCAGTGACTACAAAAGTGGCATCTCAATACACACTCATAGAAATTACAGAATAGAAAGGTTTTTTCCAAGTTCACTCTATTCTACCAAGTGTCTCTAGGAATTTTCTATTAGGCAATTCTATATACTGCTTGTTTTTAGCACCACAAGCATTATGGAAGAAGACTTTTAAATAGTTTTACCATTTGTTATTAATTTAAAGATACCAAATTTGTTTCTCTAGTTTTGCTTTTATTTCCAGTTTGCTGCATTTCCTCTTAACACTGTGGGTAAGGTGGGCAGTTAAAATGTGGTTCCTCAAAAACAAAAGGGAAGTATAATATAAGAACACCAAAATCAAAATCCTCTTTTTAAAAAAGTTTTGTTTATCCCTTTAAAAATGTCTGAACACATAAACTGACAGATTTAATAGAAATTCTTTTTAAAAATTTGCTTAGTTTCTCACATAATAATCATTAATTTAACCCCAAACTTAAATCATTAATTTGAGCCCAGGAGGGTAAGTCTCCTCTCAATTTGTTCAAACATATTAGGTGTTCCATTAATTTCATCTTATTGTTTCAATCTATCAACCTCCAATTCCTTTTACCTCTCTCTTACTTTGGGCTTCTTATTTGCTTGATTACACGTCCTACTTCTTCTTGGTTTAATCCACACGTAGGTGGTATCCATCCCCCATTAGTTTCTTGAAAAAGGATGAATGAACTGTATATTTGAGAGACTTCAGGATTGAAAATAACTTTATTCTAGCCTTATATTTGATTGACAGCGTGACTTATACAGAATTCTAAATTAGAAGTAATTTTCCTTCAGAATTTTGAAGCATTGCTCCATTACCCTTTCACTTTCAGAGTTGTTATTAAGTCCAACACATTCACCTCTGTATGCACCATATGAAACCTCTATCAACTTTTTTTCTATCAACTTGTACAATTTACTCTTTGTCTCTCTACTCGTTATCTTCGTAGAGTAGGGAAAGGGGAGGTGGGAGATACATAGGAAATGAGCTCCAGAAATCAGCACGGGTCCTCTTAAGCATTTTATACTTATAGCAATCTTAATTAGGTCCCCAAGAGCCACATGTGATTAGCACTGGCATACTGCACTATCATACAGACTGTGCAGCCCTAGAGCAACCACTGTAAGAAACAAAACGAGGTTCAGCGACAATAAAAGAGGTGTGTTGGGCCTTCCCTAGTGGCACAGTGGTTAAGAATCCGCCTGCCAATGCAGGGGATACGGGTTCAAGCCCTGGTCTGGGAAGATCCCACATGCTGCAGAGCAACTAAGCCCGTGCACCACAACTACTGTGCCTGCGCTCTAGAGCCCGCGAACCACAACTACTGAGTCTGCGTACCACAACTACTGAAGCCCGCGCTCTGCAACAAGAGAAGCACCGCAATGAGAAGACTGTGCACTGCAACAAAGAGCAGCCTCTGCTCACCGCACCTAGAGAAAGCCCACGCGCAGCAACTAAGACCAAACGCAGCCAAAAAAAAGAAAGAAAAAAAAACCATGTGTTGATAGCAATGTAAAAATAATAATTATGACGAAGATAAAAGCTAACACTACTGTGCATGTCTATGTGCCAGGTACTGTTTTAGTTGCTTCATATATGTTAATCACTGAATTAGTATATACAATACAACCTTAAGAAGTAGGTATTGTCTTCATTCTTATAGGTTATATATTTTACCCTGGCACAGCCAGAATTCTAGTCTAAACAGTCTAGCTCCAGAATCTTGTGGTCTTAACTATTATGCTATATTGCCTTCCAGTAGCAGATGGTAGTCACTTTTTGTTGTTTATTATACTACTTTTAAATATCTTTTCTTGACAAAATAAAGTTGGCAAACCCATGTTGATTTCCTCAATTAAAAAATTTATTGGTTGGTGAAATGTGAAAGCCTGGAAATCACCAGTTTGTAGGGCCAGTAGAGAACAAGAAAATGAAAATCGGAGAGAAGGTAACTGATGGAGCAAGGTCTTGGAGGATGAGTTCTAGAACATAGGGAGGAGTTAAATTTAAAGGACAGGGCAGACACTAAGTACAGGAGGAATTATAGTCACATTTAGAGATGATGGGGAAGAAAGATTCTCTAGTAACTAAAAATCAAGGTTATCTGAGCCCAAAACAAGCCTGATAGTATCAATTAGAAGGCTTAAAAATAATATAGAATGGTGAAGAATTAGAGCAACTTTTGTGAGGAATGGGAAAAAATAAAGCCGGGATTGGACGAACAGACTAGAAAAACAGAGATGGTTTCAACACCAAATATCTTGAAGAAGTCGAGAAATAAGGTTAGTGGGAGTAAAGGAGTGGACGATGTATAAACAAATAAATGAGGTTGTGGTTAGAAGGTAGGATTTCTGAATTTAAGATCTCAAAGCCAGAGGTAATGCTCATTCATTGCCAACGATGAAGACGATACTGCTGATAATAACCATTCATTAAGCACACTAAAAAAATTAATCACATATAGTCATAACAACCATTACTATCAGCATATTACAGAGAAGAAACTGAGGCCCTAATGAATTTTCAATTAACACTCAAGTTTTTTATAGAACTTAACAAGATGATGCTGAAATTCATATATAGTAGGAAAGGGCCTGTCATTCCCTAGAAAATTTTGAAGAAAATAGATGAATATTAACTATTGTTAATACCCTACTGGCTATTAACACTTATTATAAAACAGCAGCAATTATGATAGTGTGGTCACGTTATAGAGGTCATACAAATTGACCAATGGAAAATAATAAACAATCCATGGATGTGTGGAAAACTGATTTGAAATCAATGACATTACAAACCATAAAAGAAAAGTTATACTATTCAATAAATGCTGCTAGAACAATTAATTTTTCATATATAAAATAAATAAAATAAATTAGATCTCTACCTCATGCACAAAAATAAGTTGATTAAAAAAAGAATAAAACATGAAGAATAAAAGTTTAAAACTTTTAGCAAAAAGATAAATGAATATCTTTGTGATTTTGAGGTAGGAGAGGATTTCTTAAACCAGACACCCAAAGCACAAAATATAAAGGAAAAGATGAATAAATGTGACTACATTCAAACAAAATTTCAGTGTAAGAAAAGACACCACAAACAAAGGCCAAAGAAAAGGCACAGACTGGAAGATGAGAGGCAACAATATAACCAACAATGTTATTAATAACCATAAAACATAAATCAATGAAAAAGATGAGTATAGCAATAGAAAAATGGGCAAAGATGCCCAGAGATGTCCAGGAGGCGTTTGGGATTAGTACTAGAGACATCTGGGCTGGAAACAGAGATTTGGGATACATCAACTTATTGATCATATTTGAATTCACGGACTAGATGAGTTTATAAAAGGAAAGCATGTAAAGAAATTAGAGATCTGGGCCTAGCTAGGACATAAAGCAGGCAGAGGATTACCAATCCTCACTCAAGTTCTTAACACTAAATAACTTCTTTAAACTTATCCACATATTATTTTGTCTTGCCTTTTCTGACCATAACTTTGTCTTTTAAAGATGGGGTCTAAACACAAGAAACAAACACTTATAATAAAACCAGATTTTGTTGGGCACTACATCAGAAGGTGGTCAGATAAGCCTGCCACTTCTGTTTAGAGCAATATTACCTTCAGCTCCTCTGTTTCATGTATTGCCAAGAAGGCAGGACTGTGGAAATGAAATGCAAATTAAAAATTAAAACAAAACAGGATTTAAAATTTAAAGTAAAGGGAATGTAAGAAAATATTCCCAAAGTGCACAATAAGGATTTTTTTAATTGGTGGGGTTAGGAACTATCTCCTTTTAGTCATTAGCATAGCTCATTTAATGCATCAGAAATAGGTAATGTGTGCCTACACATCTTTAAATTTTAAGACAAAAAAGATGAAAGACAAGAAGAAAAATGTTTCGTCCATACAGACTTCTGCTCATCCCATTCCTTCTACTTAGAAATAGCAAACCAGGTATCCACTGCTCAAGGGAAGCCAGTCACAAAAAAACAACTACATGCAGTATAATTCCTTTTATATGATATTCAAGAACATGCAAAGCAAGACAGAATAGTGGTGGTGGTGTTGGTGGTGGTAAGAAGATGTGGTTAGCAGGGACATAAAGAAGCTCTATGGGGTGTCTGGTATTCTGTATATGTGGATCTGGGTGTTGGTCACATCAATTTATACATTTGGCACTTGAGCATTTTACTATGTTCTGTCTTTTAACTGAGGTATGTATTTTTTATTCCTATAAAGAAAAACTTCTTAGAGACCTTAAGAATCTCACTGAACACAGCTTGTTTCGCTCTTGTCAAGATAACAAAACCTCTAATTAAGAAACAAATATTTAGTGGCCTTCTCTCAACTTGTCTTCCCCTAATGGCCCCACTCCCTCAACCCACCCCTACCTCAGCCATCTCCCCAACAGAACAGGCTCAAGGACAAGGACGTCTGAGATGAACATTTTCAGCATCAACAAGCTCCAGGGTCCTTCTTCCACCAAACCAAAAGTAAGCTCCTAAGAGGAAATTGAAAGGAAACTCGAATGTAAACACCAACCTTTAATCATCACTTTGTGAATCATCTTCTACACTATCCTAGCTCATGAACATGAACCTGTATCTAAACATCTTTGTAGAAATTTCCATTGTAATTTTACTTTGACAATTTTGACCAGGGTAAAATGACAGAAAATAGGCTTATCTAGATTTCAATTAACCCTCTTGCTGATGGTTATTTTTTTTAGTGAAGGACAGTAACAAATGTTAAATGTAAACAGTCCAGAGAATGCTTTTAAAAATAACCTTCCCTTTCTCACTTTAGCATGAAACACCAAGGAAAAAATAAAAGATAAAACCTATATATTACAGCTGCTTGTTACAATGAGTCATACAAAATGCAATATTGGACCTTGCGCAGTTCATTGTTTTATGCTGCTGGTCATGCGGGGTTCAGAACGGTAATGAGACAGGGTATTGAGATACAAATTACTTCGGATATCTTACTTCAGCAAAAACATGAAACAAAGTCATGTCAAGTAAGATGCTTCCAGGGACTAAAGCTATCGCCTTTCCTCTGCTTTTTTTTTTTTTTTTGAGCTACCTCCTTTCGCTCTTTTTTTTTTCTAAACAACAATTAAAGTTCTTCACGGATACCTTAGTTTGTAGCAGAAGCCCTGCAACATGAAATAAAGGAAACCCTAAGCCTTTATGTTCTTTTACCACTTTCCCAGTTTTAGGTAACCGAAAAAAGAACAGATCTTTAGAAGGAACTGAAGATTATCTAAGGAAGGACTCTAACGGGTCTCGTCTGAATGGCAAATACTTCAAGGTCTCGGAGCAGGATTATACCAAATGGCCAAGTGGCAGAGCTGTAAGCAGTTCCTAGTTTAGCGAAAGTATTTTAACTTCTTTAAAACAACAACAACAACAACAAAAAGACTTGTAGAGGGAAGAGAGCGAAATTAGGCGCCGCGGCGGGTAGAGGAGAAGGGTGCTCTGAAGAGAATTTGCAGTTCTGGGGCCGCGGCTGGGAAGAGGCCGAGACGAGACGGGCCGAGGTAAAAAGAGACGCCAGGAGAAACTCACTTTTGAAAGGCACTTCCCGGTTACAAAGCACTCACTTGTGCTTTACCTCCTCCGACACAGTATCCTTTCTGCAGACCTCCAGCGTCTACAGACGTAAAAGGCCCACCGCAAGAGCCCTCTCCAGCATCGAGATTTCGAGGCAGGCCTCGCTACCCGTCAGTCCCCGCGGCCGCCCGCGCCCCCTCGGAATCCCCCGGGCGCGCGCACGTCACCCGCCCGCTGCCAATCGGCGCCGGGCAGGTCGCCTCTCTTCGCGTGCTCGCAACCCCGCCCCGCCCGGTCCGGGCTGCAAGCGCCCGCCGGCCGCTTCCGCTCTCGGCGCAGGCGCGGCAGCTCGGCCGGAGAGCGGCGGGGGTCGGGCGAGGAGCGGACGGCGCTGGCCAGGATGGTGCTGGAGAGCGTGGCCCGCATCGTGAAGGTGCAGCTCCCCGCGTATCTTAAGCGGCTCCCAGTCCCCGAGAGCATTACCGGGTTCGCCCAGCTCACAGGTAATCTTTGCCTTCACCCAGTCCCCATCCTTGTAAGCTTCCCAAGGCGGAGGGTGGGGGCGGGCATCTAAAAACCCTCGGGCCGAGGGGCGGGGCGGAGCTTGGCGGATGGCTCGTGACCCGGTGAGTCTGCGCCCCGAGGGAGGTGGGCGTGCGCCGGCGCTGCTGCCTGGGAGCGTGTGTGAGGCCACCTCTCGGTACTTGGCGGCCCGAGGTGCTTATCCTCGTGGCTGTAGCCAGTATCTTTACGTGGCGAGAGACCAGGTTTTTGCAGAGAAGGTGCTGAGTTGGGAACGGGCCCATCTCTTTCATCTCCATCGCTCCCTGCAGTGTGCCTGTTTAAAGCAGGGTAAGTCATCGTTATCTAAGGCACTGTGTATCAGACTGTCCCAGCTCTTGGCTGGGTTTTACCCACATCGTGTGGGTGTGACTGTGTGGGAGAGAAACACAGACATGCACATAATATGTATTGCTGTTTTATTTAGCAACAAAATTAGAAAATAAACTCCAATCCTATAGGAGAGAGTTGACCTATCATGGGGTCATTTGAGGTCACCTCCATTACTACGGGCCTGGAGGCAATTTAGTTTCCTGGAGTTGAAAGAAAGATACCTTTGCTAGTATGATGGACCAAAAATTAGAAAATGAAATTTAATGAATATATGTAACATCCTGTACTTAAGTTCCCTCCTTTACAAAATAGAACCCAGAACTCGGGATTTCACATCTAAAGGATGAAAATTTCCAGAATGCAGTCAACACTTGGAAGATTTTGTTGGGTTCTGAGCTTTACAATGTAAGTTGGGATATTGGTGAACCAGACACAGGGACTGATTAGGATGATGAGGGGGGGGAAAAACATATTAATAAAGCAAACATTGAATTCATATGTCCTGACTACCAGGGTATGTAAGCATGAATTAAGATAATTCTGAGGTAAATAGGGCTGCTTAGCTTGGAGCAGTCTGGAGATCTATGGTAGCTGACTTAAAATACAGTATTTGGAAGGCTGACCAGCGGAAGAAAAATAAGATTTATTCTGTGTAGACCAAAAGACAACTAGGGCCAAATTAGTGATAGTTATTTGAACATGGATTTTAGCTCCATGTTCAAGAAATTTTTTTTCTTTAATTAGAGAATACTTTACCAAACAAATGGTGCTTTGAGAGCTATCCCCTCTCAGAGATTAAAAAAAAAAAAAAAAAGCAGTGTCTGGAGGTGGATAGATTAAAATGTGATAAACTAGATGACTGTTCTAAATCTAGAAATTCTTTGCATAATGGTCATAGACATTTGCTCTTGACAAATGGATTGTGAGATTTTTAACACTTTTAGATGTTAAGGGGTTTGATAGAAAGCATGTAATTGAATAGAAAGAGTGGTAACTGAGTAATAAACATTAAAAAGAAATATCTAAACATAGGAACAACATAAAAGTAACAAAATGAAAAAACTTTCAAATCATGTGTTTGTAAACATCAGTCTTCTGTTGATTTTACTAGTTTATTCTGATAGATTGCAGCAATTATGTAAAATTTTGCCTTTTTCTCCCCTTATCATTTCTTTTATTGAAGTACTTTACATATTTTAATGTATTCCTTATCTTGTTGTAATAACTACGTATGTATATAATCTTATTATAGATTAGCATCACAGTAGGCCTAACCATTCCCCTGCAGCTGGAAATTTGGAATGTTTTTATATATATATTTTATTCATAATGTTCAGTGGTAAGTAGCTCTGTACCAATTGTTATTTTTTTCCTTCTTTGAATTATACCCTTGAATATATTCACTAAATGGTAATACCAGGTCAAAAGGATATGATCATTTTGTGACATTTGTTCCCAGTTGCCAACTTACCTTAAATATTTGCATAAATTAACAGCTGAGTTTTTAATAGTCAAGAAAGAAAAAAGTCCCCTTGCTCCCACCTCAGTCCAGTTAAACCTGAATTATGTGTGTTGATTCTGATTGTAGCAGGTTTTATATTCATTTCAATTTTCTGTAAACAGAGTATAGTTGAAGCAGATTGGAAAGTACGATATTTGATTTAGCGATTAGAAGATTTTCAAACCTTTTTTTTTTCTTCTCAGGGATTCCTACTGTCTTTCTTCTCAGGGATTCCTAATTCCTTAAAGGCATTAAGGAAACTCAACCTAAACCTTTTCCCTCTTGAATCAATAATTTATAGTAGTTTCTTCTTTAAAGCTGTTAAATAGTTAATGTGAAGACCAATTCTCAGAAATAATGACAACTCTGATAAATATCTTTATAGTGCATATTTAACTTAAGTCCCATTACGATGGGACAATTTAGTTCTCATTGTAATGTCCATTTATTTAGGAAACGTTAACATATTTGTAATAACTACTTTATGACAAAAATGAGATAGTCTGTTTGGCACTGGATAATGAGAATATAACAGTTGCAGAATCTGTTTGGGAGCACTATGAAAGAAAAATTGCAATGACCAATTTCCTCTCTGGGTCTCGCCTCCTGATTAGATGGTAATAGCTAATGACATTTGGCTCTCTTGAATGAACTTCTTGTAGAATCCATCTTAGACTTTTTTTCTTTGCTGAAATTAAAACCTGGAAGATAACTTTTCAATATAATTGTTTAAAATGTCTACCGGACCAAAAATATTTTCATTTTCTATCTATGACAATTAGAGCAAAAAAAAAGTTTCAATTCTCATTATTGTTGCCTGTTTTTCCTTCCCTGTTTAGACCCAGTGGTTTTTTAAAAGCAATGGACTCTCTCATGATGACTCTGCGTTCTTAGTAAACACTTGAAGATCCTTAATTACTATACAGTATTTATAGATAGCCCTTATCTATCAGAAATGCCTTATCTATCTTTGTTTAGGTTACATTGTTAAGAGTGAGGCTTTTAAGGTAAATTAGTGTAATTCTGCCCTTTGGAAGTATAATGTACTCAAATACATTGACTTTTAAAAAAGCTTTCCCTGTCATATAAATTTTAAAATAGAATAACAAAACTTCCCATTCAAAAGTCAGAAAAGTTTATATCTAGATTTAAAAGCTAGCTATGAAACTTTGAATATAGTAGTTCTACCCCACTTAAACTAGGTAGCTGCTTTGAAAAGTAATGGTTTTGCTCCTAAAGACAAAGCAATGAATCCTAAGACTATAATAATATTTTTCCCAGAGTAACACAAACATGTCAGAGCTGACCCTTCAAGGGCATTAGCTCTAGAAAGGGCCAATTTTGAGCAAAGAATTTAAGAAATGGAACAGTTGAAAGCATGTTCATAGCAGCCTTATTTATGATAATCCCAAACTGTAAGCAACCTAAGTACCTAGCAACAGGAGAGTGGATAAAGGAATTATGGTATATTCATAGAGTGGAATACTGATTAGTAATAAAAAGGAACAAATTAATCACTGGATGAATCTCAAAAATTTTATATTGAGTGAAAAAACCTTCGGGTATAGGAATCAGTGGTGGGGAGATAGACTAGAAGGGGACAGGAGAATACTTTCTGGGGTGATGAAAATATTTTACATATTTTTACTCATTTTCAGCGGAGGCTACAAGGGTATATTTAATTGTCACAGCTCAGAGCTAAACACCTAAGATCTGTTTATTGTATGTAAATTTACCTCAATTGTTTTTTTAAACAGAACAAAAGGTGAGTTTTTTTAATAAGGGTAATAAATCATTAAGTTCAAACTGAAGAGTTGCATTTATTAACATGTAAATAATAAAGGTTATTTCTGAAAGATTGAAGAATTTTATTTTAGAAAACTTTTATTTTTGAGAATTTGGTAAAATATTTACATAGTTACTGTAAGTTGTAAAAGTTTTTTCCCCTTTTCCTAGGTAGACCGACTGTATTTAAAAGTCAGTGTAATTAAAGATTATACTAGCCTTTGTGGAGAACAATTTTGATGTCATTAAAACATTTTCTTCCATGTAACCACTCTGCAATTTAGAATTCCTCAAGTCATCAAGTATTTATTGAGCACTTACTATGGGCCAGGCAGTGCTCTAAATACTGGGACACTGTTGTATTTATAGTCGTGAGTGGAAAAAAAGATTTTAAAATTGATTATTAATTTCATTTTATTGGCCCTTTGGTCCTGAATAACGTATATTAGGTTTTAAGTGGTAATAGTAATGCCATCCATTAAAAATATTTTACTTTCATCTTTCTGTGGTTCAGAAATGAAGTCATTTCTATGTTTTACCCATAATGATACATAAAAAAAAGTTATGAAATTATCAGCAGTCAAGTTGCCAGTATTATTTTTATAGTATCATTATATGCAACCTTTTTAAAAAGGAAAAAAAATACAGCAAAATAGAAATACAACAAAATGTTACCAACTCTTGAATGGTGGGATTAAAAGTTATTTTGTTTTTTACAACTTTTCTAAATTTTCAAATTTTGTAAAATAAATGCTATTTCTGATAATCCTAAAACAATTTAAAAGTGTACTGTACAAAATATACATTATACCTAACAGTTAGTAGGTAATAGATTTCCCTTCACAGTACCTAATGTATCTGCAGTAGCTCAATATAGATCAAACAGGTTCATAGGAAATAGCCAATCTTAAAGGTTGTTTTTTAATTTCTTGTTTGATTTTTCTGTATTTAATATTTATTCATCAAAAATCAGCCTTAATAAATGTACTTAAAATGATTTAATTGAGCTTTACAGACTATTATTTTCCTTTATTATCTTTTCTGTAGTTAAATTGAAGTTTGTCATCTTTAAAAAGTAGATTTT